GCCGAGCCGAGTTTTAGTAATTGCCCTCAAATTGGTGTACGAATCCCCACACGGGCTACAAATATCCTCGCAAAATCTCAGCTGCCCGTTTCCGACAATAATTTCTCGGTTGGATACGGTGCAAACAACGAACTTTGACGTGCCTGTATGCATGCTTTAGGCATACGTTATAGCCGAATTGAAATATTTAGCTTATACATAGGTAGGGAATGTCGCTGCGAGGTTTGAGTTTCCTACTTTGATTGTCTCTTAAAATCGCTTCCCGTCAAAAAGTTGCGTATTCCTCTTTTCAGTGTCTTTACGTGATGGCAATTTCAAAACAGGGAGAGTCGCAAATGGGGTGGAAATATGTTCCAAAAGTGTTAACCTTCAGGCTTCTCTGATTCTCGAACTGAAGATGGATGATGTAGTTTACTCGTCACACACGCATATACGCGTGCGCACACATACATACACAGACGACCTCTCGACAACATGCGTTTTTGCTCACTGTAGCAGCACTATAAAATTACTGTTGAATCTCAGAGCACAAATTTTCAGTGAGATAATTCGAATGGGTGGTCTCGAGCCAGAGAATGCATATCCTTATAAAGGCAAAAATGGAACATGCCATTTAGTCCGTAAAGAAATTGCCGTGTATATCAACGATTCTGTGCAATTTCCTCACAACGAAACAGTTATGCAGGCTTGGGTGGCGCAAAAAGGACCACTTTCTGTTGGTTAGTTGTTTATATTTCAGCATATCGAATGAATAAATGGAAATACTTAGCTATTATAAGTCGTCTCAAAGAGAAGTTTAGGCTAACCATTTGGTGTTTCTCTCGAACTAAAATATCGATTCTACATATTTACTGCATTCACACCTATCTTCAGCTTTTCCCCGCCTTCATATATTTTCAGTTATTTGTTCAAAACTTTTAAGCTACCTAACTTCGAAGATTGTATTAACGGTCACTTTCGTAAGAATCGCCCAATGTGACATGATTGGGCTGGTGCAGTCGATATGTTCCGGCCCATAAACTTTTTACGACTTTCACAGCGCTGACCTCTACGCTACTGTTCCAATACAGTGCCTGGCTTTTCTTCTGTGATACCGGCAACTCAGTTTTTTTTTTGATTGGATTAGATGGTCAAAAGAACTAGACTTAACTGAAGAGACAGCCTAACATAGTTGATCCCTGTTGCACATAGCTGCATCTGATTAGCATCACAAAACCTATTTCTTCGGTTCTGTCGGAATTGATAATTTAATCAGACAGCTGTTGTACACGCAAAATCGCTTTCACCAGCTAGTAGTGCGTTTACTGTAATACGTAAATAGTGTTTCTATCAATTGTTTGGAAGAAAAACTCCGAAGTTTGAATCTAATTACTGTTTTTTAAACAGCAAAAAAAAAAAGTATTATAAGATACAGTTCAACGCATTAGCATAGACCGATTTTCATCATGGCTTGAAAGCATAGTCAAGGAAATAAGTCATTCTAAAATTTGTTTTCACTAGTAAATGATACTTAGGTGCTCGTACACATCGGCGTTCAGCCTCCTTTGGTTTGCTTCTCTAGATTTTTCCTGGGAGGAGTAACTTCCACTGGCCTTTCCTTGCTAACAGAGTTGTTGATAGAACTGCTATACTTGAGCCACGGACGAATAAATCCGCTTCCTTTCCGTAGCTGAAATGTAGGAGATACATTACTGAGCTTTTCAACAAACGTAATGACTTATTTAAAAAAAGTTTTTCAGGAATTGATGCGGATTTGCTGATGTACTACAAACACGGAATTCTGCATCCGCCTAGAAAGCTCTGCCCACCATCAATGATCAACCATGGTGTACTGATCGTTGGCTACGGTGCCGAAAATGGAATGCCATTTTGGATAATCAAAAATAGTTGGGGCGAAAAATGGGGCGAAGCCGGTTATTTCCGCCTCATGCGAGGCAAGGATGTTTGTGGGGTTCAGGATCTTGCATCATCCGCAATTATCTATTGAGCTTTCTTGTACGAATTTAATTTTTTTTTCTTAGTAAATCTTCCTACTTGTTTTTGTCTCGAAACAGGTGATTTTCTGAAAGAAAAAGAAAACAATCCCTCCAGTTAAAATTCCGGTACTTTTATGTCGATGGGAGGCCTAACTTCCGCGTAAAAACGAGGCGCCGAAATTTTGGCCCTCCTTCTTGTTTATGCATATACAAGTTTCGGAGCAGCTGTGTGTTAAAATTCTGCACTTTTTTGGTTAAATTTTTTTCATCATGAATGCGAATTTTTGCGCTATTTTGGCTAAGTTTCTTCTGCTTCACGCATTTTTCTTTTTGCTCTGTCGATTTAGCGCGTCTCTAAGGCAAAAATAAGCGTCCTCCTCTCCCTCGGTCTCCGCACTTAGCACACACAACACATTCTTCGTCTAAACTTTTGTTAATGTTGATTGTTGCTGTGACTGATGCGATTATGAGCAGTATTTCTATGACAGTGGATACATAAATAGATTACGACGCACACTAGGGTTTGCTGAAAGCTGCAATGTGTGCAATGAATGGGACAGTACAAACCGGAGTTCGCTAATAATGACCTTTTACTCGATTTAGCGCATTTAACGGAATCTCAGATGGATAGTTCCTATTTTTCTGAGGTACCTCAACACTAGTCATATCAGCACATATATAGTCATAAGTCAAGAAATATATAATGTCAAACAGTCCTTTGCAGCTTACGCGATTAGCGGAAATCCACACTACGTTCTATTCTGAATTATAAAATTATTCTCTCTCTCTGTCTGTCTGTGTTTGAGATCATAATAAGGCCTCATTTCACATTACTTTTTCGAAAAATTTGCTCAAATAAGTTCCTAGTTGTTGGATAATGAATTATAAAACTGGCGCATACCTGGATCTGACGTTGTGGGCCACTATACAAACAGAGGCTCAAGCTGATTTCAGGCTGTAGTGTAGTATGTAGTCAAAGAATACGTTTGAAAGATTTTGTGACGCTTTTGCAGTTCTGAACCAAATCATCCATATATATATATATACCAAATCATCCATATATATATATATATATATGTACATGGATGATTTGGTATATGATATA